GCGACAGTCGCAACTCACCTCTGGCACGTCGCCTGCCGGAGAAATTGCGCCTGCTTTTCGCCATGGTGTTACTGACACCACTCCTACGACTCGCACGCGACCCTGACTCCCTCTCTGCCTGGACGGTTTTACTGTTTGCCGCCCGTTTGACTCTGCGTCAGCATTCGCCAAGACATCCGGATTGGAAGGCGACTGAAAAACGCCTGCGGAATTTCCTGCGGGGGGATTGGGAGGCGCTGTACCTGGAAACGATAGATTCACTAGAACAACCACCACCTCCCCGCCACGTGCCAGATGAGTTAGGCATCATCTCCAGAGCCGAGGGACTGGCACGACGTGGCAGTTTGAGGAAGGCGGTCATGGCGCTGGAAGCCACCCCTGTCAGCACACCCTCACCTGCTGTGCTGGACGCCCTCCGCGCCAAGCATCCCAGTGCTTCCCGCCCTGTCTCACCGTGGCCCCAGCCCGAGCCAGACTCTCACCTGTCAGTAACGCGAGAAGCTTTTCTGAAGCTTCTCTCAAGATGTGAGAACGGGGTTGGCGCGGGGCCCTCAGGCACAACTTTCGAGCACATCCGCGAAGCTGCCCTGCTGCACAGCACAGTCGGTTCTCACCTGCACGCATTAGTTAACACAATCCTGAGCGGGAAACTGCACCAGGAGGTGGGGAAGCTTCTTACAGCATCACGTTTAATAGCATTAGACAAACCTGACGGGGGGACCAGGCCGATCGCTATAGGCGAATGCATCCTCCGCCTGGCAGCCAAGGCAGCACTAACGCAGTTGGCAGACGCAGCAAGGGAATTCTTCTTACCTCTGCAGTTTGGTGTGGCCGTGCCTGGCGGGGCTGAGGCGGTCATCCATATCGTTAGGACCTATGTGGCGGCTAACCTGGATGCGCTAGTCCTGCAGGCGGACCTGGCTAATGCCTTCAACAGCGTCGACCGCCTGGCAATAGCAAAAGCCCTGAAGGGCTCACGATTCGAGCCGCTGCTGCCACTGGTTCGCTTCTCATACGGCCAGCCCTCTCTCCTTCACCTGGACGCGGCCTTTGCTCACCCGCCCCTGCACAGTGAAACCGGTGTCCGCCAGGGGGATCCCCTCGGTCCCCTTCTCTTCGCCGCTGCCATGCACCCTGCTCTTAAAGCCGCAGCAGAGGCTCACCCATCCGTCGTCTGCCTAGCCTACGCAGACGACGTGACCTTCCTCGGGGAGCCATCGGCGTGCGTGGCTGCCTTCGAACACTTCACGGGCCACCTGGCGGAAATTGGGCTCCGCCATAACCCAGCCAAATGCGGGGCTTGGTCCAGCAAGATGTCCCCGGACTGCCGCTTGCCTGAAGGAGTTCCTCCCAGCAGCGACGGCCTGAAAGTATTGGGCAGCTACATCGGCACGGCACCAGCAACTTCAGATTTCGTACGTACCAGTCTTGCGGGGATGAGCGCGCCGCTGGACCTGATCGAGCGGATGGACCCGCAGCTGGCGGGTCTGCTGCTGTCCCGGTGTATCTCTCGCCGGGTCTCTTACCTCGCACGCACGACACCCCTGCCGTTTCTGCCCAAGGAGGAGTGGTCAAGCTGGGGGAGGCGGCTGCTGGAAACCCTTCTCACGGCGTGCGGGATTAGCCATCCGCGGGGAGACGAGGAGATGGCACGCGTCTGGGCGCAAGCGTCTCTCCCCGTGTCGCTCGGGGGGGTTGGCCTAGCAGACCCCTCGGTGGAAGGGCGCTACAGCTTCCTCGCCAGCTACACGCAGGCGCAGCAGCTGCTGGATTCCCTGGACACTGAATGCATCGGCCCATTGGAGGGCACCCGTGGGCTGATGCGGGGCCCCTACACCCAGGCCTCCCCCCTGACCGAGTGGCTGGCGGAATGTGAGGAGGGGCTGCCTCTGCCGGCAATGGAGGTCCTGCAGACGGAACGAGCGGCCCCAACAACGGGGAAGCTGCAGCATGGATTGGCCACCGCTATCCAAGGACAGCGGTATGCGGTGCAGGTGGAGGAGGTGCGGAGGATTTGGCCGAACCCCAACAACGGCCACACCCAACGGATGTTGTCTCTGTCAGGTTATGGGGCGGGTGATTGGTTAAATGCCGTGCCGATTCACCATTCGCTTCGGCTAGACGCCCCTCATTATGCCAACGCCCTCCAGTTCCGGCTAGGGCTCCCCTTTGCTGCCCCGGGAGTGTGCAACTGCACGAAGAAGGTCGAGATCTTGGATAAGCGGCTGCCCAATCACCTGCTGCGGTGCGGAACAGGGGGGGGACGTACCAACACGCACAATGAGCTCAGAGACGAGTGCGCGCGAATGGCAAGGGACGCCGGCTTCATGGTGCACATGGAGTCGGCCGCATTCAGCCCTATGGAAGGGAAGAAGGCTGACCTAGCCCTCCGCGACCGCACTACCAGCGCGGTCTACATCTGCGACGTGACTGTAACGGATCCGATTAGCACCCGGGACGAGAATGCAACCAGGGGACGGGGATGGGCAGCACGGGAAGCCGCGGATAAAAAGATTGGCCTTTACAAGGACCGCCCGGAAGGGGTCAAGTTCTTCCCCCTCGCGGTCGAGACGTACGGGTGCCCTTGCCCCGAGACAGTGGACTTCCTGAAGTTACTTGCAGAATCGGTGCTTCAACGCCGAGCCCACCTCCTACCAAGCTGCCAAACTCTTACACCAATATCGGCAGCGGTGGTCGGTGGCTCTTCAAAGGGGGCAGTCAGTCGGGTACCAAGAGAAATGCAACATCGCAGCAGCGGTAGAAAACCCGCTGCTTGAGGCGGTAGGAGAGGCCCCGTCACTTGGAGATTGCCTCATGGTCTTGGACCCCACCCTGGACCTCCCCTAGAGGGAGCCACGGGGGGGGGGGAGGGGGAGGCTGCGTTGCAAGATGAGTAGGAGGCTTAGATTTGTGACGACTGTTGCGTGCCATACCAATACCTTGCATGTGTGTACTCCACGATTATCAATGAAAGGGCCATTAGAGAGAGAAGGAAGAACATCCTTTCTCTCTTCTATTCTCTCCTCATCTTCTTCCTCCGCTCCCCCCCCCTCCTCTTCCTCCCATATCTTCCCCTCCTCTTCCTCCCTTCTCTCTTCCTCTTCCATTGCCCTCCCCTCTTTTTCCCTCTCTCCCCTCCTCTTCCCCCCCCTCCTCTTCCCCGCCCTCCTCTTCCCCCGCCCTCCTCTCCTCTTCTTCCGCCCTCCCCTCCTCTTCCCCCGCCCTCCTCTTCCTCTTCCTCCCCCTCCCTCCCTCCTCTCCTCCCCTCCCCCTCCTCTCCTCCCCCTCCCCTCCTCTCCTCCTCCCCTCCTCCCTCCCCCCCCCCTCCTCTTCCTCCCCCCTCCCCTCCTCTTCCTCCCCCCTCCCCTCCTCTTCTCCCCCCTCCCCTCCTCTTCCTCCCCCCTCCCCTCCTCTTCCATCCCCCCTCCCCTCCTCTTCCTTCCCCCCTCCCCTCCTCTTCCAGTGCAATGTAGCCTTCTGGTGCGCTTGCGCTCGCTCCTTCTCCCCCCTTCCCCTCCCTCCCTGCCCACCGCAGGTACCCCAGTTCGTGGTGGGCAGGTGGCACAAGGCGGGCGACAAGGCAACGTTGTTCCTATCCCCTTGTCTCATCGCTCCCTCTCTCCCTGCCTCTCCTTGCATCTCCGCCCTCCTCTCTCGTCCCCCCACTGTAGGCGCCTCAGTTGGTGGCGGGCAGGTGGCACAAGGCAGAGGACAAGCCAGCCTTCTTTCCCCCCCCCCGTCCCCCTCTTTCCCCCACTGGTACGCCTCACCTCACTCCCTTGCTCCCCAACCTTCTTCCCCCCCCCCCCCGTCCCCCTCTTTCCTCTACCGCAGGTACCACAATTCGTGGCGGACAGGTGGCACAAGGCGGGGGACAGGCCAACCTTCCCGCTTCCCACTTGCACCATCGCTCTCTCCCCAACACCTACTCTCCTCCCCCTCTCTCCTTCACTTCCTCCCAAATCCCCCCGCCACTGCAGGTACCCCAGTTCGTGGCGGGCAGATGGCACAAGGCAGGCGACAAGCCTGCGGGGGAGGGGCGGCGACAGTGGGGGACAAGCCAACCTTCCTCCTGTCCCCTTGCCTCATCACCCTCACTTGCTCCCCCCTCCTACTACTCTCTCTCCCCCACCGCAGGTACCCCAGTTCGTGGCGGACAGGTGGCACAAGGCAGGCGACAAGCCTGCGGGGGAGGCAGCAGCGGGGGGAGGTACGGCGACAGGCGCCCCCGCCACGCCTCCGCCACCAGGGGGGGGAGCGGGGGCGGGGGGAGTGGGCGTGGTGGGGCGCGTGCGCATGGCGTTTGACCCGCGCGCTCGCCCTCAGGGCGGACAGGCCGCCACGCAGGTGAGGCGACTATAACGACGGGGCTGTTGCCAAGGTGACAATATCGAGGAGCTGTTAGTACTCAGGTGACTGGCGAAGGGCTGTCTTTAACCCATGTGGCAATAACGAGGGGATGCCACTCTTAAGGCAGATCCTCACATTCACAACAGGCTGTCTGTCTGTCTGCCCTCCCTGACTTTTGAATCGACTCAAAAGTCAGCGAGGGGATGCCATGCCACTCCATTAAGACAGATTCTCACATTCACAACAGTCTATCTGTCTGCCCTCCGTGCTCTCGTCTTCTCTCACTCCTTTTCCCGCCTTCCCCCTCCCCCCTTCGTTCCCCTTCCCAATCAGTTCATGATGCGGCTGGAGGTGCCAGAGGGGGCAGCAGCAGAGCTCCCAATAGAATACAACAACCGCGTTCACAGCCGTCCCCCTTGCCTGCCCTCCTCTTCACTCACGCCTACCCCTCCCCTTCCTCCCTTCCTGCCTCCATGCCCCTCTAATCAGTTCATAATGCGTCTGGAGGTGCCAGAGGGAGCAGCAGCGGAGCTTCCGATAGAGTATAACCTCGCATTCACTTCACAGCACTCTCCCCTCCCTGCTCTCCTACACTCCTCGTCTTACTCCTACCTTTTCACTACCTTCTTCCCGACCCACCCCATCAGTTCATGATGCGACTGGAGGTACCAGAGGGGGCAGCAGCAGAGCTTCCAATAGAGTATAACCTCGCCTTCACGCCCGACCACGTGCCCATGCACGTCTTCTCCGAGTCTATCAGTGGTGCGTTTAGTGCATTGCTGTGCAATCTCTATGCAACCTTGCGAGCCAATCAACGTTGCATTCACGCCCGACCACGTGCCCATGCACGTCTTCTCCGAGTCTGCCAGTGGTGAGTTTCAAGGGCCAGCCTAGTCCAACCCAATGTGTCCCTGCAAGTCAAGCAAGTCAATCAAGTCATTCAAGTCATTCAAGTCATTCAAGTCATTCAAGTCATTCAAGTCATTCAATCCCTGTGTGGAGTACAGCCTCGCCTTCACACCCGACCACGTGCCCATGCACGTCTTCTCTGAGTCTATCAGTGGTGAGTTTCAACCAAGGGCCAGCCTAGTCCAACCCAATGTGTCCCTGCAAGTCAAGCAAGTCAATCAGTCTTTGTGTGGAGTACAGCCCCGCCTTCACCCCCTACCACGTGCCCATGCACTCTCCGAGTCTGCCAGTGGTGCGTTCAGTGCGTGGTGCGTGAGTTTTTTTACTCCCATGTGTTTCCTGTTCCTGCGACTCAAGCAATCCCTGCAGCCGCCAAGTTCAGATAAGTGGCACTGGCAGTTGGATAGGTGCGCTGTGCAATCCCACCCTTTTGAGGCGCCTTAAAAGGGGCACTGGCAGTTGGATAGGTGGACCGTGCGCCATTGCTGCGCTTTCCATACTCATGGTTCTCTCACGCAGGCCGCATGGCACTAGAAGGCAAGGTGGAGCCTTGCCTTCTGGCTGTGGTTCCACAAGCAGCTGCCTAGTGGGGATAGATAGAGTAGAGGGTACTGGCAGGTGCTGGATGGCTGGAGGCACTCCCACCCGCCCTCACTTTCTCTCTTCCTCCCTACTGCCATCTCACTCTATCCCTGACAGGTCGCATTGCTCTGGAAGGCAAGGTGGAGCACAAGTTTGACATGCAGCCGCCCAGTGGGGACAGGGGGTACCGGCAGATGCTGCAGTCGCGGGAGAAAAAGTGGAACACACCCAAACGCACGTTGCAGGTGGGCTTGTTAGTGGGGGGGTTGAGGGGGTTGGTTGGTGACACATGGCGGTGGGAGGGAGGGAAGGGATATGGGTAAGCAGGAAACAGGGGGTACCGGCAGATGCTGCAGACGCGGCAGAAAAAGTGGAACACCCCCAAGCGCACGCAGCAGGTGCGAGGGGATTGAAGAGGGTTGGGGTCTTAACTTTGGGGCACGGGTTGGGGGTAACGGGTGGGCATCGTGAGACAGATGGTATCAGCAGATGCCGCTGCAGACGAGGGAGAAGATATGGGGCACGCCCAAACTCACGCTGCAGGTGGGTTGAGTTTAGTGAGGCTAGGAGGGGACAGGGAGAGGGGTTAGAACGGAGAAGGGGCAGGATTTGGTTTGGGAGTGCAGGGTGTGGGGGTGTGCAGCGCACCTGCAGGTGGTGCAGACGTGGGAGGTAAGGATCCATCACTTCTGAATATTTTCGCAAGTGATTCCCATCATGGGCCTCTACCTCTGTTTTGAGTCGACTCAAAAGACAGCTCGTTTCACGCGGATTTTGAGCTGTTTCAAAACACGACTCATTTCAAGCGGATTCTGAGTTGATTCAGAACCAAGTGCTGCAGGTGCGGGAGTGAAGTGATCTATAATTGGCCTCTCCTCTTGCTCCTCCTCCTGACTGCTCATTTCTGGAATGTTTCTAACCGCTTCCCACCCACCTCCCCCCGCCTCGCCTCCCTCCATCTCACATCTCTCCCTTGTTGCCTCTGCTCTTTTCGTTTTTCTACCCTTGTCGTCTCTTTGTTTACATTCTCCTTCTATTCTATTGCCTTCGCTTTCGCTCCTCTGCCCTTCGCTGCACAGGTGCCTCTGCCCCCCTGACTGCAATCGCCTCCCACACACACTTCCTTCTTCTTTTCTCTTCCCCTCCTCTTACCTCTCTGCAGAAATGGGACCCATCAGGTGCCGCTGGTCCCCGTCTGTCCATGCACACTCTCATGCACACTCTCCCTCCGCCCCCCACACACACTTCCTTCCTCTCGTCTCTCCTCTCCCCTCCTCTCTTCGCTGCAGAAATGGGATCCATCAGGTGCTGCTGGTCCCCGTCTGCCCATGCCTGGCACCGTCACTAATGTCAAGGTGAGGCAAGTGTCAAGGTGGGTGCAGCTGTAAGCGCTTGTTTTACCATGAGAGGTGCTGCTGGTCCCCGTCTGCCCACGCCTGGCATCGCCACTAATGTCAAGGTGAGGGCAGGTTGAAGTGCTTGTTTCACACACGGCTTTAAGCTTTGAATTTCCACCCTAAGGGGTGTGTCTGGCCCGTGCCTGCCCATGCCTGGCACCGTCACCAGCGTCAAGGTGAGGGCAGGTTTAAGTGCTTGTTTCACACACGGCTTTAAGCTTTGAATTTCCACCCTAAGGGGTGCCTCTGGCCCGTGCCTGCCCATGCCTGGCACCGTCACCAGCGTCAAGGTGAGGGCAGGTTTAAGTGCTTGTTTCACACACGGCTTTAAGCTTGAAGCTTCCACTGTATGGGGTGCCTCTGGCCCGTGTCTGCCCATCCCTGGGACCGCCTCCAACCAACGTCAAGGTGAGTGAAGCAATAATGATGAGAAGGTGATCATTTGAGGGAAGCGGTAATGTGAGGAAACACACGGTGAGAGCATGTCTTCTGTTTTCCCTCATCGCTTCTCCCTTTCTCCACCAAACACACCAACCCTCTTCCGCCTTTCACCTGTCTCCAGCGCAAAGCAGGCACCACACCAGCATAGCAGCAGCCTCTCACACCCCCCTTCCCCCATCCTAGTTCTCTCCAGAGCAAGGCAGGCACAGAGAGCAAGCAGTGCGGAGGTCAGGGAATTCAGGTCCTTTATGCACCTTGCCCCCAACCCTCTCCTACGCCCCGGCATCTCTCTACAGCACAAGACAGGCATGGCACCATTCCCACCATCCCCCCCATTACAACCATCCTCCCATCCCGCTTTCCCCACTTCTCTCCAGTGCAATGCAGGCACCACACCGGCATGGCAGCAGGTGTTCAAGATGGGCACGACACACCACCCCCTCCCATTCCTCACACCACTCTCCCCACCTATCCCCCACTCTTCACTCCAGCGCAAGGCAGGCATGGCACCGGCATGGCAGCAGGCGGCAGCAGCGAGGGCAGCGGACAAGGAGAGCAAGCGAGTGTGCATGTCGCGAGATGTGGTGGAGGCAAAGCTCTTTGCGCTCTTACTCCCCAAAACCCCCGTCCCTCCCCCATCCTCCCCCCTTCTCCTCCTCACAACCCCTTCCTCCCTCTCCTCACACCCCCTCCCTCCCCTTACCTCTCCCCAGCGCAAGGCAGGCACGGCACCGGCATGGCAGCAGGCAGCAGCAGCAAGGGCAGCGGACAAGGACAGCAAGCGAGTGCGCATGTCGCGAGATGTGGTGGAGGCAAAGCTGTTTGCTCTCTTTGAGGAGCGGCCTCATTGGACCTTGAAACACCTCACGGACGCAACACAGCAGCCGCAGGTGAGAGGTTGAAGGGGGTTGGGAAAAGGGGAACGAGTGCGCATGTCACGAGACGTGGTGGAGGCAAAGCTGTTTGCTCTCTCTGAGGAGCGACCACACTGGAATCTGAAGCACCTCACAGACGCCACTCAGCAGCCGCAGGTAACAGGATGGGGGGAGCTGGCTGGAGTGGGTAGGTATGTATGTCACGAGATGTGGTGGAAGCAATGCTCTTTGCATTCTTTGAGGAGCGCCCGCACTGGACGCTCAAACACCTGACTGACGCGACTCAGCAGCCACAGGTGAGGGGCGAAGGGGTAGCTGGGTTGGAGTGGGTGCGCATGTCATGAGTTGTGGGGGCAAAGCTGTTCGCTCTCTTTGAGGAGCGCCCGCACTGGACGCTCAAACACCTTCCTCTTGCTGCCTGCTATCGCGCCCGGTCTCATTCGTTCCCTTGCTCTTGCTGCCAGCAATTCCTAAAGAAAGTGTTGGGCGACATGCGTGTTTAGCGTAGTACAAGAGTCTGTGTGCTCGGTGCCATGTGTTATGTGCCTTTCTGCCTGCCAACCATCGTACCATGTGACGAGGCCACGATCTTCCCGTACCATAGTACAAGAGTCTGCGTGGGCCACGGGAGGAGGGAAAATCGTGCCATGTGTCACTCCCACGATCTTCCCTCCTCCCGTGCCCCGCGCAGCAGTTCCTCAACGAGGTGTTGGGCGCCATGTGTGTAGCACCATGTCACAAGTGCCATGTGCGGTTCTGTCAGCCGTCTACCCTATGTCACACCCACGATCCCACCTCCTCCCCTCCCCTCCCTCCAACAAAAATTCCTCAAGGAGGTTTTGGGCGGCACGGCAAATGTGTGTACAATTCGAGTGTATGTGCCATGCTCCTTTCATGCACCTGGCGCATTGCTGCCAACTCCCCTCACCTATGCTTACACCATAACTCCCTTTCCACTCTGCCCCTCACAGCAATTCCTCAAGGAGGTGTTGGGCGACATGTGTGTGTACAACAAGAGAGGGCCCAACCAGGGCTTATACGAGCTCAAGCCAGAATACAAGCACTCTGCGCCGCCGGCAGCTACTTAACTTCACACTACCATGCGGCCGAGGTGTAGGAGTGACAGTGTGTGTGCAATAAGAGGGGCCCCGACCCCAACCAAGGGCCTGTACGAGCTCAAGCAAGAGTATAAGCACGCAGCCACGCCAGCAGGGCCCAAAATTGGTTTTGGCCTACCCTTACAAATCAGGGTAACAGCCCCTCCTTGAACAGACCCCTAGGGTAAAATTTTCCGTACCCTGTTGGCAGCAGGGTAAATCTACCATTACACTGATTTCGGCAGGGTAATTCTATATCTAGTCTGTTTTCACTACTAGTAATTTCTACAGCAACAATAAAGTAGCACGCAACTCTGCTCAGCTGGCAGTGGTGTGGCTCGATTAAGGGGTGTTTTGCCAGTCTAGTGTAACAATAGGCACAATGTGCTACAATCAATACGAAACTATTGGTGTGTGTCTCAGTTGGTTATATGTGCAGATTCAGATCTCAAGGTTGCGGGTTCAAATCCTGTGGGCGATTGGAACAGTATTGCCATTTCGCAACGAAAATCCTCGCTACTGAGGATACTGTATCAGTGTAATGTACAGCTCACCTTGATACAGCCAGGGTAGCCGAAATCGCTATCAGTGTAAAAAAAAACATACTCTTTTTGCGTAAGGGAAAAAATCTTGGAAACCTGATTTTGAAAGGGTAACTCTGAAAAAACGGCCGGCCCCCAGGGTAATCAGGGCATTTTACCCTGATATTTTGGACCCTGCACGCCAGCTCCTTAAATGTTGAATATTGCAAGTGGTAGAAGGGTAAATTACACTGATAACCTGAACCCTGGTGGTAACTGCAGTGTGTGTATGTCAAATGTTATACCCTGTTGTGGGTCATGCTATATGGGGTACAAGCAGTTAGGGTTAGGCATGTGTACCCCAACCCTATCAATCCTACTCATTCCGCTGTAGCTACTTTCTGAGATGGTATCAGCCCGCTCGTCGACCCGCCGCGCCGCCCGTAGGCCCGCGCGCCGCGTCGCCCGCCCGTCGACCGGCTGCGCAGCCCGCCCGTCACTCAGTACGCCGTGCCGCACGCCCCATAGCGCGCCGCGCCGCCCACCACCCAGCGCACTGCACCGCCCACCAGCCAGCGTACCGCGCTGCCCACCAGACAGCGCACTGCGCCGCTCACCTACCCACCTACATGCCTCCCCGCCTGCCCACACGTTACTGATTGTCTCTCCCCTCCCGCGGCTGGCAGCCGCGCTCTCTCAGTCTCGCCCTCTATGGCGACCTCCCGAGTACTTCGTTTCGACCCTGAAGGGCGACCTATAGATTTTAGCACGTGGCTTACGCAAGCGCAGCGCCACCTTAAGAGCCAGCGGCAGGATGGCGTGCACTTGTTCGCCCACGCATCCGGTACTCAGACCGCTCCCCAGCAGCCTAGCCCGCTGCCCACTACCCCACCGCCTACTCCTGAGCAGGAGGCCGAGTACCAGCGCCAGCTCCTCGCTCGCGACGTGTGGGAGTCTCGTGACGCCGCTGCCTGCCTCGCCCTGACCGACCTTCTCCCGCCGACAGAGGCAGTCCACTTCGCTCAGGTCGAGTCTGCTGCAGATCTGTATAAGGCTATTGTTGCTCGCTACTCTACTCCCTCCTCTGCGTCGCTCAGTCGCCTCCTCGTACCCTTTATCTACCCTGACCTCGCCTCCTTTGAGACTGTCTCTGACCTCGCTACTCACCTGCGCTCCCTTGACGCTCGCTTTCGCGCTGCTTGCACTGAGGACCAGCTTGCCCTTGCCCCGCCCCCTATGTGGCTCACTATTCACTGGCTAGTCACTCGCCTCCCTGACCGCCTAGCCACAGCCCGCGATGCGCTTCTTCTGAAGCACCCCACTGAGCTTACCATCGATCTTCTTGAGACTGCTCTCTCGAAGATCGAGAGTAACCTCCTCACCGTTGCCTCTGCCTCTTCCGCGCCTCCTCCTCGTCTTTTTGAGGGGTGTGCGGTACCACAGCTTCCCACCTTCTCTGCCTCCCTTGCCACTCCCACGTCTTCTGCCTCCGAGGAGACGGCGGCTGTTTCTGTCTCTGGCGGACAGAAACGTGGCAAGGCCGGCAAGAAGGGCGGGAAGGGCGGCGGGGGTACTGGAGGTGGTGCGGGTAGTGGCGGTGGCGGTGGAGCAGGTGGTGGGAGTGGTGGTGGGGGTGGCTCGGGACCTGACGGCCCTCCTTTCGACGGTGGAGTTTCCATTGGTGGTGAGGGGCTCCAGCAGCAGCAGCAGCCGACTCCTCAGCAGCTGCCACCGCCTGGACAGCAGCAGCGGCAGGGACAGCAGCAGCAGCAGCGACAGGGCCAGCAGCAGCGCCTACCGCAGCAGCAGCCTCAGCAGTGGGGCCCTCCGCAGCAGTGGGGCCCTCCGCAGCAGTGGAGGTCTGCGGGTCCCCCGAGCACTGGGCGCGGTGGCGCCCCCTCCAGTCGGGGACCTCGCGCGGCCGGCCGCGACGTTGGTCCCTGTGAGTACTGGATCCTTACGGGTCCTCGTAGGGACACGTACTGTGGCCGCCCCGACCACTCTGCTGCACGCTGCTTCAGTCGTCTCGACGACCTCTACCGCTTGCACCACGGCCCCTCCGCTCCCCCGCCGCCACGCTGGGGGACGCTGCTTGCTCGTGGTATTGCTGTTTTTGATATGACTATGGATGATGCTAGGTCTTATGCCATGTATGCTGATGTTGACTATAGTGCTCCTGGATCTGTGTACTTGCCTGTACCTAGCTTAGGATCTTTGCCTGTTGCTAGAGTAGGTGCTAGTGTAGGATCTTGCTTAGCTACTAGTACAGGTACTCCCTCGGCGGACACGTCTCTCTCCTTCACACTGGACTCAGGAGCGTCGCACTGCTTCTTCCGCGACTGCACGACTCTCTCTCCGCTACCGGCGCCTGTCCCTGTAGCACTGGCCGATCCCTCCTCGGGACCGGTCATTGCGACTCACGCCACTACTCTCCCGTGCCCAGCTGCTCCTTCTGGTTCCCTGACCGGCCTCCACGTTCCTACGTTCTCTAGGAACCTGGTTGGTGTGGGCACCTTGGCGAGACAGCACGTCGGTGTCTGGGTTGAGCCTTCTGGTGACACCGCAGTCTGCGTCGACGGTGACACGTACGCCCCCTTGGCCACTTTCCGCCAGGAGCCGGGCTCTGGTCTGTACACCCTCCGCACCGACCCCCGTCAGGTTCCCCCGTCCCACCAGGTAGCCGGGTCCAGTCAGGTTGCTGTGTCAGGTGTAGTTGCTGCGTCGTGCTCGTGTCGGTCGCTTGCCCACCCCACCGTTCTGTGGCACCACCGGATGGGGCACCCGTCCCTTCCTCGTCTGCGCGCCATGTCCAGTCAGCGTCTTGTCTTAGGCCTCCCCCGAGTCCTCCCGCCACTCCCGCCGTCCCCAGCTCCTCCGTGCGGTCCTTGTGTCCAGGGTCGGCTGTGCGCCACCCCTCACTCCTCCTCCCTTCGTCCGGCCACCGAGCCCTTCCAGACACTCCACTTAGACGTCTGGGGCCCCGCCTCCCGCCTTGGCCCTGAGCGGGAGAGTTTCTTTCTGGTGGTCGTTGACGATTTCTCTCGGTACACCACCGTGTTCCCTTTGGCGAAGAAGTCCGACGTGACTTCTACGCTGATCCGGTGGCTGCTCGCCACCGAGGGCACTCGTGGTCGTCGTGTCAGTTGTCTCCACTCCGACCGTGGGGGTGAGTTTCGCTCCGGCATTCTCGCCAGATTCTGTGCTGAGCAGGGCATCACCCAGTCCTGGACTCTTCCAGACTCTCCACAGCAGAATGGGGTTGCTGAGCGCCGCTTAGGCCTGGTCATGGAGATCGCCCGCACCTCCATGATCCACGCCCGCGCGCCCCATTTTCTGTGGCCCTACGCGGCTCGGTACGCCGCTCACCAGCTGAACCTCTGGCCTCGCGTCTCTCGGCCAGGGGCTTCACCGACCAGTCTTTGGACAGGGTCCCCTGGTGTTGCGTCGAGGTTTAGTGTCTGGGGCTGCTTGGCTCTTGTCCGCGACACCTCTGCGGACAAGATCTCGCCTCGTGCAGTCCCCTGTGTCTTCCTTGGTTTCCCAGAGGGCTCCTCTGACTTCACCTTTTACCACCCACCCTCCCACCGGTTCTTTGACTCTCGTGACGTCCGTTTCGACGAGTCCGTCCCCTACTACGTCAGGTACCCCTCTCGAGGTCTTTTGGTTCCCCCCCCTCCCCTCTTCCTGGCTCCAGCTCCTCCTCCTCCCGCCCCTGCTCCTCCGGTACCCCCCCCTGTTCCCGCTCCGTCTGGTGTGTCTCACGCTACTCCCCCTCCCTCGGTACCCCCCCAGGTCTCTCCTCCTTCCCCACAGTCGTCCTCACCGCCTCCGCAGCAGCCGTCGGCGCTTCCTTCACCGGCCACTGCGGACACTGAGGGTGTCGGTGCTAGCGGTGAGGGCTCTGGCGGTGCTCGCTCTGGGGGTGCTGGCGTTGGAGCTGTTCGTGCACCTACAGGAGCGGCCAGTTCTGGGGGTGCTGGCACTGGCGCTGAGCGTGCACCTGCCGCAGCTGCCCGTTCCGAGGGTACTGGAGCTGGTGGTGGTGCTGGAGCTGGTGGTGTTTCTGGAGCTGGAGAGTCTGGGGCTGGTGCTGGTGCTACTGGGGGCACCACGCCTGGGGGTGCGGGTACACCTCCTGCAGGTGCAGGTCGTGCTGCCGCGGGGGGTACTCGCTCTGGGGGTGCTCAGCCGGGTGCTGTCGAGGGCGGAGCAGGTTCTTCTTCGTCGTCTCCTCACGCTACTCCTCCTCCTCACCCTTACCCGACTCGCCACCAGGCCCGTCTTCGTCTTGAGCGCGAGGAGCAGCAGCGTTTGGAGCGTGAGAGGTTGGAGCTTCAGCAGCGGGTGGAGAGTGAGAGGTTGGAGTTGCAGCGGGAGCAGCAGCAGCAGCAGCAGCAGCAGCAGCAGCAGCAGCCGCAGCAGCAGCAGCAGCCGCAGCAGCCTCCGCCCCCTGTTTCTGGCCTTCGGGCCCTTGGTCTCCCCTCCTCTCCTCCTGTGTTCGGTCCTACGTTTCCTCCTCCGGACTCCACTCCGGCTGTCTTCCCTCGTTCTCTGTCTCCTCCGTCCCCCACTCCTCTCGCCCACACTTGGGCCTCTCGTCCTCCTCGTGCTCGTCCCTCGTCCCCTGTCACTGACCTCCGTACCGTGTTGTTTCGTCCTAGTCCTCCTCGTTCTCCTCCGTCGGCCCTTCCTCGTCCTCCTGAGTCTTCCCTCACTGCCTCCCTGTCCACTCCGGTCACTGACTACTACCGCACGTACCGCCCCACTCTCTCTCGTGTTCTCGCCTCTCTTGTTACAGACCCTCGTGCCTCCCCTTCCTCCGTCGCGGTCCTCACTGCCGCTGTCACTGACTTTACTGCTACGCGTCGCCTTGACTACGCTACTCGTGTTGTGGCCGCTCCTCCTGTCCGTCCTCTGTCCGCCGGGGGTGAGTCTGCCCTTGGCTGTGACGTCCTAGAGGACAGACAGTTTGAGCTAGAGTTCCTGGCAGCTGCTTCGCCTCATCTCTGTGCCATGCTGCTCACTCCTGAGGGAGACCCCGACGCTCCTGACATACCTACTCCTCGCACTTACGCTGAGGCAGTGTCAGGGCCTTGGGCCTCTCAGTGGAGAGCTGCCATGGACGCAGAGATGGCCTCCTACAGGTCCACAGGCACTTACGTTGACGAGGTTCCCCCACCAGGGGCGAACATCGTTGACGGCATGTGGATCTTCAAGGTGAAGCGGCCGCCGGGATCTCCCCCAGTCTTCAAGGCACGCTACGTGGCTAGAGGGTTCAGTCAGCGTGAGGGAGTTGACTTCTTTCAGACCTTCGCGCCCACCCCGAAGATGACCACTCTTCGGGTGTTACTTCACGTAGCAGCGCAGAGAGACTACGAGCTACACTCTCTTGACTTCTCCACTGCCTTCCTCCAGGGCCGCCTACACGAGGAGATCTGGCTGCGTCGTCCTCCGGGCTTCACTGGCACTTTCCCGCCTGGGACCCAGTGGAGCCTCAGACGACCGGTCTACGGTCTCCGCCAGGCACCCCGTGAGTGGCACGACACTCTCCGCTCTACTCTCTCCGACCTCGGGTTTGAGCCGTCTTCCGCCGACCCGTCGCTGTTTGTTCGTCGTGGGCGCACACCTTTCTTCGTTCTGGTCTACGTTGACGACTTGGTTTTTGCCACAGCCGACACAGCTGCACTGGCGGAGGTGAAGTCCGAACTGCAGAAGAGACACACGTGCACTGACCTTGGAGAACTGCGCCGCTACCTTGGCCTGCAGATCTCCAGGGACAGAGCCGCTCGCACCATCACTCTGACTCAGTCACACATGGTGCAGCAGGTCCTTCAGCAGTTCGGGCTTCAGGACTCCTCTCCTACACCCACTCCTCTTGCTGTAGACCACAGACTCACTGGGCCTTTTCCTGACGAGCCGTTCGAGCCCAGTGGTCCCTACGCAGAGCTGGTGGGCTGCCTCATGTACCTGATGACGTGCACTCGCCCGGACCTCGCCTTCCCTCTTAGCATCCTGTCTCGCTTTGTTGCGACTGGGAGACACCGTCCTGTTCACTGGGCGGCGGCTAAGAGGGTGGCGAAGTACCTTGGCGCGACATCAGGCATGGGGCTTGTACTTGGAGGGACACAGCCAGTTGTACTCACCGGTCACTGCGACTCCTCCTACGCCGACGACGTTGAGACTCAGAGGTCTACGCAGGGTTACTGTTTCAGCCTGGGTTCTGGAGCTGTTTCGTGGAGGTCTACTCGGTCCTCCTCGGTTGCGACTTCTACCGCAGAGGCCGAGATCTACGCTGGGGCCCTTGCTGCTCAGGAGCTACGCTGGTTGACCTTTTTGCTCACTGACCTTGGTGAGCGGCCGAGCTCTGCACCGACCCTGTTTGCTGACAACAGGGCGATGATTCTCCTGTGTCGTGAGCCTCGACTGGAGAGCAGAGTGAAGCACATCGACGTCAGGTACTTCCTCCTTCGAGAGTTGCAGAGACGCGGGCAGGCTCGTCTGGACTTCGTGGCCTCCGAGGCCAACACTGCAGACATCTTCACCAAGGCTCTTCAGCCTTGTGACCACCGTCGGTTCTGTCTGCAGTTGGGCCTCGTTGAGACTGGGTCGAGTAGACTGCAGTAGTGAGTGCTTGTCTCTTGTCTTTGCTTGTACAGTATATATCTGCATATACACTCTTGAACTGGCCTTGTGGCCGCTGTTTGCGCTCAGACTGTGTGGTGACGTTGTGATCCACCCTGAGCTTTGTTTTGTCTTTTGTTTGTGACTGGTCTTGTGACCTTAGGTTGCGTTTCTTGTTGCTTGGCATTCCCCACTTAGGCTATGGGGGTGTGTCAAATGTTATACCCTGTTGTGGGTCATGCTATATGGGGTACAAGCAGTTAGGGTTAGGCATGTGTACCCCAACCCTATCAATCCTACTCATTCCGCTGTAGCTACTTTCTGAGAGTGTACAACAAGAGGGGGGCCATCCAGGGCCTGTACGAGCTCAAGCCAGAGTAGTATAAGCACGCGGCACCGCCAGCATCGAACTTCACTCTATTGTGTGGTCGAAGTGCAAACTCACTGTTGAAAACTGCAAGTACCGTAGTAACTGCAGTGTGTGTGTACAACAAGAGAGGGCCCCACTTTAACCAGGGCCTGTACCAGCTCAAGCCCGAGTACAAGCACTCAGCACAGCCACCCATGTGACTTCAACACTACTGTGTGGCCGAAGTGCCAACTCATTGTTAACAATAGGGTAGCACATGGTAATTGCGATATGTGTGTGTAACAAACAAGAGAGGGCCTCACGTAGAGACACACTCCAACGAGGGCCTCTACGAGCTCAAGCCCAAGTACACGGCAATTAGGCTGCCTTGTGAGTTTACAATATCCGTGGGCTTGCCTCTACTACTCTCAAGTTGGTAGTGCAAGCAAGCCCTCCCTTGTGGCTGATTTCGGAAATGGCTAACGAGAATGGAGTCCATGTTGGTACATGTGATGAGAACAGAATTATAGGTACTACCCCAATGTATTATGTAGTGCACCAAAGCAGTGCACACCACGGTCATCGAAATGTTAGAGCATGCACTCAAACTCAAACCATCACCCATCATCAAAAGGCGTGCACAAACACCAGAGGGGTGTCGCAACACTCCCACAAGTTTTCCACATCTCCCCACGCCACACCGGCCTCGTCTTGTTTGATCATGCCTTGACAGCAACAAATCACGCATCATCATGCGGCCCAAAGTGCAGCCAGGGTCCATGGGGTCATTGCGGCCGCAGCAGTCCCAAAAGTTCTCCACTTCCACAGAAAAGTGCAGCATGCAATAGCACTATCACGCATCATCGTACGACCTGTTTGGCCCCTTAGTGCAGCCAGGATCCATGGGGTCGTTGCTTGCGGCCACAGAAAGGGTTGTGGATTGTAATACTAGCAGCAGTGGGGCATTCAGAATCACTATCAGCACTTGAAACCATCACACATCATCGTACGATTGGTGCGGCCCCTTAGTGCAGCCAGGGCCCATGGGGTCGTTGCGGCCGCAGACAAGGCTGTACAGTGGGGCATTTAGAGTCACACGAAAGGCCATCACGCATCATCGTACGATTGGTGAGGCCCCTTAGTGCAGCCGGGGTCCATGGGGTCGTTGCGGCCGCAGCAGTCCCAAAAGTTCTCCACCTCTCCCCACTCCGCCCTTGTCTCCTCTGAGTGGTACAGGAACTCCTTTCCCACCTTGTGGTACGAGAACGACTGCAATTCGAAAAGGGTACAAACAGGGAGTGAGAAGGCAAAGGAGGGGCGCAAGGGACAAAGATGAAGCGGCAGCAGCAGCAGTCCCACCCAGAAGCTCTCCACCTTGGCCCGTTTGGCCTTCCGTATCCTTTGAGTGGTACAGGAACTCCTTGCCAACCCTGTGGTACGAGAACGACTGCATTGCAAAGAGATTGAGGGTGTACACAAGGAGAGAGAGGGAGATGGCAAAAAAAGAGTGGAAGGCTCAAAGATCAAGCAACCACAGCAGTATCCTCTGAGTGATACAGAAACTCCTTTCCCACCTTGTGGTATGAGAAAGACTGCATGTCAAAGAGGGTCGGAGCGCAAACGGGAAAAGAGAAGGCACATAAGTAGTGCAAGGTAAGGTACCAAGCTGGCTCCAGTCCAGTCCCAGAGGATGTCCAACCCAACCCACTCCACCGTTGTCTCTTCTGAGTGGTAAAGGAATTCCTTGCCCACCTTGTGGTACGAGAACGACTGCAACGCATGGAGGGTAAGAGGGACAACAGGGAGTCAAAGGGCAAAGGAGAGCTGAAGTAAACGCAGCATCCCCAAGGCTCTATTGACTCACTCCACCCTTGTCTCTTCTGAAAGGTAAAGGAACTTCTTACCCACCTTGTGGTACGAGAACGACTGCATTCCAAAAGATTGAGAATGCAAACAATAGTGAAAGGGGAAAGGAGAGCAAAACCACATGCAGCAGTCCCAGAAGTTCTCCACCTCTCCCCACTCCCTCCTTGTCTCCTCTGAGTGGTACAAGGATTCCTTGCCCACTTTGTGGTACGAGAAAGACTGCAAAGCAAAGAGATTGAGGGTGCAAACAGGGAGAGAGATGACAAAAGAAGAGAGCAAGGTTCAAAGATCGAGCGGCCACAGCAGTCTCTTCTGAGTGGTGAAGGAATTCCTTGCCAATCTTGTGGTACGAGAATGACTGCATTGCAAACAGGGTAAGAGGGCAAACAGGGGAGTGAGAAAACTGAAACGGCCGCAGAAGTTCCAGAATTCTCCAGCTCTGCCCACTCCATGCTATCTAGGCTAACCCCTGTCTGAGTGATACAAGAACCCCCTTACCCTCCTGGTGGTATAAGCAGGACTGCATGACAAAGAGGGTCAAAACAGGGAATTAGATGGTTCAATTGGGGTGTGAGAAGGCAGATGAGGAGTGCAACTTGCAAGCAAGGTGCAAAGGTGAAGCAGCCACAGCAACAGTCCCAGAAGATCTCCTCGTCACCCCACTCTGCCCTCCTCTCATCTGAGCTGTATAAGAACTCCTGACCCGCTTTTGAGTCGAATCAAAGGCGTCTCATTTGAGCGATAGAAGGGCTCCTTTCCCACCCACGTGGTATGAGCAAGAGTGCATTTGGAAGAGGGCAAGCGGGCAAACGGGGAGTATGAAACCGAGTGCAAGCAAGGTGCAAAGCTAAAGTGGCCGCAGCAGCAGTCTCACAAGTTCTCCTCCTCTCCCCACTCTGCCCTCGTCTCGTCCGAGTGGTATAAGAAAAACATTGCCCACCTTGTGGTGTGAAGTGATTAGTTGTGGCTTTGTGTGAAAACAGGGAATAAAAAGGCAAAGGAGGAGTGGAAAGTACAAAGATGAAACGGCCTTAGCAGAATATCTTTAGTCGACTCAAATAGCGGCCGCAGCAACCCTTGAAGATTTACATCTCGACCCACTCTGTCCTCGCATCCTCTGAGCCTCTGAATGAGACGAAAGGTTGTGTAGTGGGTCGTGCTTGTGCTTCCAGAAGGAACTCGTTCCCAATCTTATGGTATGAGTAGGATTGTGGAAGGGTACGAACATGGAGTGAGAAGGTGCAAATGGGATGTGGGAAGGCTACAGCTGATTACTGCAAGATGACATGGGGTAAGAACAGGAAGGACGAGGGCAACGGAGAATAGAAGATGGTAACGACACGAACGAAATATATTGAGTCGACTCAATAGGGAGGATGATTGTTACAGTTGGTAAGGGGTAAGAGAACTAGAAAGGGGATACATGAGAAGGGTGTGAATCAGCTACCATTTTCATTGAAACAAACGTGTGATTATGTTAGTTCTTGTAACTACCGTAGGTATTGCAGTAATGATTTATACTGATGGTTATATGTTACATACCTTCCATTTCCGTTTAACTTCGCCTGGTGTATTCACACGAGCATCCACAAAAGAAACACACATACACACAAAAACATGAACACAAAGACACACACACACACACACACACACACTCACACACACACACACACGCACACACACACATAGAGGAAAGCAGAAAGAAGAGTTTAAGCAAGGTGAAAGTAGGTGCATGGCAAGGTGAGATGCATGGCAGTTGAAGGAAGAAAGAACGGACTGCGGCGAGCGATGAGAAAAGGCAGAAGCGCGGTGGAGGGGATGGAATGTTGGCGAGAGGATGGATAATAGGAAACAGAAGGCAATTGGAGGAGAAGACAAGATGGGTTGGTATGGGTCAAGTGCGAAACAGAGAGATCCGCATGAGTTTTCATCCTCGCTCCACTTTCATCCTCGCTCCACTTTCATCCTCGCTCCACTTTCATCCTCGCTCCACTTTCATCCTCGCTCCACTTTCATCCTCGCTCCACTTTCATCCTCGCTCCACTTTCATCCTCGCTCCACTTTCATCCTCGCTCCACTTTCATCCTCGCTCCACTTTCATCCTCGCTCCACTTTCATCCTCGCTCCACTTTCATCCTCGCTCCACTTTCATCCTCGCTCCACTTTCATCCTCGCTCCACTTTCATCCTCGCTCCACTTTCATCCTCGCTCCACTTTCATCCTCGCTCCACTTTCATCCTCGCTCCACTTTCATCCTCGCTCCACTTTCGCCCAGTAGTGCGCGGGTGGAAGGAGCAGGCGGAGGGATGGTTATGAGAATGGTGAAGGCACATAAAAACGCCCAGAGCATAGCACCAACCACTGCATGCCTCTGCCCACCCCTCTATATCTTCGTACCACGGTCTACACTGCACCCCACCACTCTGTACCTCCGTAGTGTGCGGGGTGGAAGGAGCAGGCGGTAGGGTGGTTCTGGGCGGGGTCGAACGGCTGCTTGCACTGCCGACACGTCAGCAACACCGGCGCCTCTGCTGAGCTGGCGACATTACCGGCGCTGCTGCTATTGGTCGCCTCTGCTCCCACGCTGACCGCACGAGCTGTTAAGCTGACGATGCGAGCTGCGAGGATATGGGAATTGTGGAAATCGCGGTTGTGTGACTTTAGAGTCGTGTCAAAAGCGTAGTCATGAGACAGGCAATGCTGCGAGTTCAGTTGGTTTTACGTAGTGTGGGGATTCTCAGAAGCCAATCGCTGAAACGCCGGCCGCGCAAGCTGTGAAGGCAACTTTGCGAGCTGCAGGGCAGGGCGGGGGGAATGGGGAGTAGTAGTAAGTGTGCCATGTCATGCGCAATTTTCTGGAAGGCACACAACTATCGATGCGCAAGCTCGAGTGGCTTTTGGTTATTGTGCACATTTTCAAAAGCCATCTGCTGCCACGGGGGCCGTGCGAGCTGCGCAGCTGACGCTGCGAGCTGCGGAGGGGTGTGGGGATATGGAGAGTAGAGAAGTCAAAGTGTAATGTGATGCGCAATCCTCTGAGAAGCACCCAGCTTCCGATGCGCAGGCTCGATTGGCTATTGGCTAGTACGACGATCTTGCGCAAGCTCTCCCACGGCCAGCTCTCCCACGGCCAGCTCTCCCACGGCCAGCCTGGCAGCAACTGCATATTGGAACCTGCGGAGAGCGAGCGAGCCATCGGAGATTCGTAGAAACCAGCTGCTGCCATGCTGGCCAAGAGAGCTGCGGGGAAATGGAGGGGAGCTGCATGGAGCTCAGGATGCACCTTTTATTCTTTCCAAAAGGTGCATGAAAGGTGCATAAAAGGTGCATAAAAGGTGCATAAAAGGTGCATCCTGAGGTCAGGGTGCACTTCTCATCTTGACAAAAGCGCACTTCCCATGTGGTGCGCTTCTCATGTGGTGCGCTTCTCATGTGGTGACAGAAGCGCACCACATATGCTCAGGGTACGCTTGATAAAAGCGCACTTCTCGTGTGGTGACAATGCTGCGGGGACCTGTAAATGTTGGTGAGGGGAAATTCAAATCAAGTGGCTCGTATTGCTGGAGAGGGGGGTAGGAGAGCGAGACGAAGAGATTGAACTAGATGAAAGGGGGTGAGGAGGGGGGAAAGGGGATGGAGCGGAGGGGGGGAGGGGAGGGGAGACGGGAACATACAGGGATGCTCTTGAGGCGTCTCAAGAGTTGAGCTTGGTGAGGAGGAGGGGGGGGGGGGGGGGGGGGGGCCGAGACAGGGATGTGTGGGAGTGAAGGGAGCGGGAGATTAGCGTGTGCCATTCATTCCTCTCCACATGAGTGGGCAAGCAATCGCGGCATCAGTACTCCGAGGCTTCGGGACGTCTCAAGACTCGAACTTGCGACTTCTCAAGGCATGTCGTAGATCATTTCGCGGGATGTCAGATGCGGACGAAGTAAGAATGCTCCGAGCCCCGTTCGGACAAGCGAAATGCGGGACTTTTGTGACCAGTTGACGCATTCTAACGGCTTTCGAGGCTAACCTACAGAGATGCTAGTAGCGTTACTCATGGCGACGGTAAGGAGCCTCACCAGATGTACGGGGGAAGCGCGGCGATGGAATCGAGGCGCCGTCTCGTGAAACGGGGGCGACTCCGCACGTGGAAACGGCTCCTAGTAAAGCTACGGACGCCATGGCTGCCGTGGCGATAAACAGAGGGACACGGTCGGATGGTTGAGGATTATGCCGTCGTCGTGGCCGTCGCAGCAGGGCTTGTCGCAACGGGATTATGGAATGCGACTCATGGTGAGCTTGGAATCTGCTATGACAACGGGTTTTTTGTAGAAGGGCCTGTTCAATGCGAGGGATTGATTCTTCAATGCGACCCGAAGCTGTTACATCGCAACGAAAGATCTCCACCGTTGTCCGTGTTTTAAACAACGTTGTTTGTTTTTGTGAAGTTTTAGTGGACAAACAGAGACCCGCCTATTATTACGAAATGCCGCTCTCTCCATCCTCATAATCTGCATTTCCCTACTACCGCAGAAAGACTGAAAGCTTTTAGGAAATGGGTGGTTGCGTGGAAGGCTTGTGTGTGCCATGTACAGATTTGCAAACACGGCCTGAATGTAAATTTGTTGAATCCATCAATCAGCAAACCACTCTACAAACCACTTCACTCCACATTCATCGATCTCTCCATTCATCCACCATCATCCTCTCTTCACAACCACGCACCATTGTCGATCTTTAGCAGTCGTCATCCTAGGGAGTGCGCGACGCGATAAGAAACGGAGCCGCTGCCGAGTTAATTTCTGGATCCGGCTAACTCAAGTGAGCTCTGCCAACGGTCAAATTGGTCTATTGAGCAGTACGTCTTTCACGTCGCACCTTCCACCCAATCAGAGCCATGGCGGCGTTCGACGCGATCACGGAGGAGCCGCCGCCGAGCCGCCACTGGGACGACCCGGATTTCGAGTCCTTTCCGCCAAAACATTCCGGTTCCGTCGCTCCTTTCCGCTTCGAAGTAGGTTTCTTCTTCGTCTCCCCGTCGCTGCGATGCTTGTTAGGGAAGAGAGCGCTCGTTCCTATCCGCCTCTCCGTCAACCCCCCTCGTTGGGAGGCATTTCCGCTCCAGCACAGCTCCCTCGCATGTCGGACATGCGACTCCCAAAAGGGGAGTCGCATGCAACGTGAGGTGCAGACGCGCCGCGGTACTACAGCTCGTGATCCACTGCCTATAGCTCTTTCGGGTCCAGCCGTGTGACGGAAGGGTATCTGTAAATCGACGAGATTTGACCTCGTTATAGAACGCACCGCGTTACTGCAGCTCATGATCCATCTGCCTGTAGCTCTGTCGTACGATTTTAATTCGGCGATTTACGCAGCGCGGATTCGTGCGGTGCAATTGCGACGACTGGGCTGCGGAATTTAGATCCGTTCCGCGTCTGTAGTGAGGCAGGGGTCTGGATGGCAGATCGAGGCGGCAGATGTGCCGCCGCTGGGCTCGGCCGCCGTTGGGCGGCTTATCGGATCCAGATGGTTGAATCTGAAAAGCTTTTATGCCGTCGCTGCTTGTCGGATGCCTTCCACTGGAGACTCTTTCTGTCATCGACTGAATCCTTCCCCTCCCTTCCTCGTTTCGTCTTCTTCCGGATCCCTCCCGCAACCACCACTTGCTGTGGCACGAATCCATGTGCCTCAGCACTGTTGAAACGCCTCCCCCCCCCCCCGCCCGCTATATCCCTCCCCTGCCTTCCCTCGTTCTCCCTCCCTGCCTTGCAACCACGAATGGCTTTGGCACGACCCCTGCTCCTCACGCTGCCGCACTGCCTCGTCTCAAAGCCCATCCTCTCTGCTGTTTCCCCACCTCCCTGCCCCCCCTCTTTGTCTCTCCCCTGCTCCCCCCTCCCCTTCTTTATCCCTCCCTGCCTTGCAACCACCAGTGGCTGTGGCACGACCCCTGTGCATCAACGCTGCTGCAGCGCCTCTCCATCTCTCCACCCACCACCACCACCACCAGCACAAGCGCCACTGGCAGCGACAACAGAGGTGGTACAAGCTTGGTTAATGATGGTGGTGCCGGGGGAGGCGCTGGGGAGGAGAGGGGGTGTGTGGCAGTGCGACTGTTGCTCGTGGCAGCAGCACCGGCCAGCAGCGACCTAATAGCCCACGCTGTGGAATCCCTGGGGGGAAATTCTACCCCTGCCACTCTTTCTGACACGCAAGCTGCTGCTGATGGCGCTGGCGGTGCTGACGTGGCCTCTCAGGGAGCTGATGCTGCCAGTGGCAAGAATTCTGGGCTTAGATTGGCTGCGCGGATTCACTACGGCAACAGCGGCGGAAGCAGCAGTGGCAGCAGCAGTGGCGTTGATGGGGGGAGGTGAGACTGCTGAGATCAGCTGAACTGAGAGAGCTTTGAGTTGAGTGTGACGGGTTATAGGCAGGTGGAGTCCCTCCTCCTGCTGCTCATGCCGTCTTGCCAAGAGCCCCTCCTCCTGCCGCTGTCGTTTTTGGGCCCCATTGTTGCTGGCCCTGATGCCGCCTTGCCTTCACCAGCAACCCGCATACAGCAAAGTCGTGATCATTTTACCCTCCCTCCCCTGTCTCTTTCTGCATCGTGTGTGGTCCTTGCCACGCACTTGGTGCATGGTGTATGGCATGCGATGCATGGGATTACGGCACATGAGGCGTGGGTTTATGGGGCATAATGCATGGCACATGCTGTGCGCCACATGGTGCATGTGACATGGCACACGGCATGTACCATCATGGATGCCACATGATGTGTATCACATGGTACTTGTCGTGTGATGCATGGCCTCGTCATCCATGCGTGCAGATCATCATCAGGACAGCACACGTCACACCTCTACCTCACAGAGACAGGTGGCACCGCGCTATTGGCTGTCGGCCGTGGTCGGCTGGAAGCAGAGCGGTGCTTCGAATGGGTGCGAGGCGTCATGGCGCATGTGAAACCATCCCTGTGAGTCATGGCGCATGTGAAACCATCCCTGTGAGTCATGGCGCATGTGAAACCACCCCTGTGAGTCATGGCGCATGTGAAACCATCCCTGTGAGTCATGGCGCATGTGAAACCATCCCTGTGAGTCATGGCGCATGTGAAACCATCCCTGTGAGTCATGGCGCATGTGAAACCACCCTGTGAGTCGTGATGTGGTGCCATAGTAATCCATGCTTGTGAGTGATTATCTGGTTTGGTGCCATGTGAAACCATCCTGTGAGTTACAATGCGGAAGAGGGTGTGATGTTTTCTAACATTCTTACAATCACCTCATCTCCCTCTCTCTCGCCTTCTCCCAACCCTTTCCCTATGCCATCCATCAAGATGGCCACCCCTATTTCCCTTTCTCTCTGGCGGCCAACCCTTTCCTGCCCTGTCGTCCTTACAGTCACCTCCCATCCTATCCAACCATTTCCCACCCCTTCCAATCCCTTCTCCATGCCGCCATCAGGATTCAGGACTGCCATCTTCTCCCACTTGTATCACCTATACTTGTCTCCCAACCATTCCCCACCCTCCCAGATACTCTCCTTCCCAACACCCTCCTCCCCAACACCCTCATCCCCAATACCCTCCTTCCCAACACCCTCATCCCCAACACCCTCCTCCCCAATACCCTCCTTCCCAACACCCTCCTCCCCAATACCCTCCTTCCCAACGCCCTCCTCCCCAATACCCTCCTTCCCAACACCCTCCTCCCCAATACCCTCCTTCCCAACACCCTCATCCCCAATACCCTCCTTCCCAACACCCTCATCCCCAATACCCTCCTTCCCAACACCCTCCTCCCCAATACACTCCTTCCCAACACCCTCATCCCCAATACCCTCCTTCCCAACACCCTCCTCCCCAATACCCTCCTTCCCAACACCCTCCTCTCCAATACACTCCTTCCCAACACCCTCATCCCCAATACCCTCCTTCCCAACACCCTCATCCCCAATACCCTCCTTCCCAACACCCTCATCCCCAACCCTCTCCTTATCGCATCCATCAGGATGGTCGTTATTTCCTCTCTGCCGGCCACCTCTCTTCCTTCACTGCCCTCTGTTCCGCCCAAACTGCATGCCACGTCACTGGGCCCTCTTGCTGACGTGGATGTGTGGCGGCTTGAGACAAACGCTTTTAAGGTATGGTTCTGATTGGCATATCTTGACTCTGTTTTGTACAGAGGTGCAGGGTGTGGTTCTGATTGGTACAGAGGATTAAGGTGCAGTATGCGGTATGGCCATGTGCACAACACATGTATCACGGGGATCCATGCTTGTCCAAAGTGCGCATGGCGCATTGCCATACCCGTGCCATGTTATCAGACGCCTTGTAACGAGTCTCAGTGCCATGTGGTGTAGTGTATGGTCCAAAACCCTCTTTCAAGGTATGCTCTGTGGAAATAGAGTGTGATTTTGTCCATGCACATACCTCCCCCTGTTCCTGGGCTTCACAGCCTCATGCCATCCTCGCCACCCATGATCCATCTCATCGCTTTGCCTCTCCCCGTTTTCCCCGTTTTCCCGTTTTCCGTTTTCTCGTTTTTCCCGTTTTCGCCCTGTTCCTTGTTATTCCATCCCTCATTCGCCCCACGTCGTTCTTCCTCTCCCCATCACCACTGTTTCCCCCAGGCGTCACCCTTCGCATCCCTCGCTCCTCTCCCCGCCATCGCCTACCTTCCATCGGGCAGTCTCATCGACAGTCTCCCTGCTGCTCTCTTCTCAGTCGCCGCTCCTCCCATCCCCATTCCCTGTTCCCTTCAGGCGTCACCCTTCGCATCCCTCGCCCCTCTCCCTGTCATCGCCTACCTTCCATCTGGCAGTCTCATTGATGGTCTTGCTGCTACCCTCCTTTAACTCTCCCCTCCCACACCGTTGCCTATTCCCCCGCAGGCGTCACCCTTCGCATCCCTCGCTCCTCTCCCCGCCATCGCCTACCTTCCATCTGGCAGTCTCATCGACGGTCTCCCTGCTGCTCTCCTCTCCCATGTATGGCCTCCTCTGCCTCTTCCGTACCCTCTCCTCTTCGTGTGTGCTCCTTTTCTCTTCGCCCTTCGCATGCTCTGTGTCTCCCCTCCCCTCCCTGTCTTCAATAATTCCCATCTCATGTGCTGCCCACTGTCCCACCTGTACCACTGCACCTGACCCTTCCCCCTCTGCATGCACTTTCTGCGTTTGCCATGTATATGCCATGCACCTCACGATTTAGGCTCCACACACATACATGCTCTCTGACCAACGTGTTTATTGTGATGAACTTGTCTTGTCTTAATGTACTTTTCCGACCAACGTATATTACACTCCTCATTACAATTGTGTTGAGGAAGCATCTCCTCACAGTTTCATCCTCGCTCTTGCACTCTTCGCATTCTTCCCTTCCACCTCCTACATATATTAATCCACTCTCCATCTCCCTTCTTCCCCCTCTCCAACATGTCCTCTTGCATACTCCCGTTACTCTCTCGCCCTCCTTTCGCCCCTCTCCCAGTGTCAGCCCCGGCAGCTGCCAGCTGTCGCGCTCTCATTCGTCGATCGCCACTGGAGCGGCAGCTCCCCAGGCACGGCGCGAGGCATGGCATGGCTCATGGGGGAACTCGTGGCAGCATGTGTTGCTGGTGCCCCAGGGGGTGGGGGGGCAGGAGCAGGAGAACAAGGAGAAGCAGCAACAGCAACCGCTGCAGCAGGAGTGGAGGAGGAGGGGGGTAATGCTGTGAGGGAAGCCCTGCTGAGGGCAGGCGCCGTGTGGGCGAAGCAGTGGAGTGCTGTGCTGGCAGGCCATGGGAACGGGGCTGCTGAGCTGTACGTGTGAAGGGGAAGGGAAGGTACTGCCACTGGAGCAGCAGCAGCAGCAGCAGCAGCAGCAGCAGCAGCTGTGGTGGATGGGGTAAGGCTGTGAGGGGAGGCCCTGCTGAGGGCAGGCGCCGTGTGGGCGAAGCAGTGGAGTGCTGTGCCGGCAGGCCATGGGAACGGGGCTGCTGAGCTGTACGTGTGAAGGGGAACTTGGAAGAGAAAGCACTGCCAGTGGAGTGGCAGTTCTACCTGCACGGTGCTGAGACATGGCATGGGTCATAAAGCAAGTCTTGGTGGCGCGTGCTGGTCGTGAGGGGGTGGGGGGAGCAGAGCAGCTGTACGTGTGAAGAGGAATGAAAGGCACCCCCGCTGGAGTGGCAGCTCCCCTGGCTCCATGGGAGGAATGGTGTGGCTCATGATGAGGGCGCACTGACGTGACAACAGGAAAGACATCGCCATGTGATGATGTTTGCTTAGTAGCAGCATCAGCTTAGTAAGTGACCCACTCAGCTTATTAACACCCTTGGTTGTTATGCCTGGGAGAATATGGTAGTGTTGAATTAATGACAAGAGAAGAGTGTATAAACAAAAGTCGCCTTGCATATCAGGCGACAGTGAGCTTAGAGAGTACGACCCTTCCAGGGCTGGTTATTTGTATCACATGCCTCCTAGTCAACATTATTCTGCTTATGCTAGTTTGACAGTTCGCGCTCATATACTCAGGTAAGGATGACCAAAATCATAGCACAGATCTTGATTGACAAATTATACCACCGTAACGACTGGAGCAACCTGAAGCACAGCCCAACCCAACCTAACGTAGTCTCCTTTTCTTTGTCAACGGACCTTGTACATCCGCAGAAGCACCCCCATTCGAATCACCACCAGCTGCCGTTTGGCCCCCAGCCGCTGCCTTGTCGCCTTCTCCCCCCTTCCCCACCCCTTCCCCCAGCTGACTGATCTCCGTGGCGCCATACTGCAGCGGCACGTTCGACACATCCGCCACCGTCTCTTCCTCTTTCAGCCCGCCCGGCGCAGCAGCCGCCTGCTTCACCTCGTTCACCATCGCCAGCAGCTCCTCTTTGTACTTCTGCCGCGCCGCCTCCCTGCGCTTGCGCCGCTCTTCAATCACGCGCAGCACAGTGGGATCCGACTCGTTCACGGCTGCCCGCGGGTCCGGTGCGTCTAGTGCCTCCTCCTCACTCAGAATCTCCTCCTCTGCTGCTGCCACTGCTGCTTCCTCCTCCTCCTGCGCTGCCACTGGGGGTTTGGGACGAGCAGGGAGTGGGGAGATGGGAGGACATGGTTAAAGGGATGGGATACGGCGTCGCTAAGGAAAAACAGACCACATAGTGACCGGCGCTGCTCTTAGACGTGCTGCATCTGCTGCTTCCTCTGCTTCCTGTGTGGGTCCGGTGCGTCTAGTGCCTCCTTCCTTGCTCAGAATCTCCTCCTCTGCTGCTGCCACTGCTGCTTCCTCCTCCTCCTGCGCTGCCACTGGGGGTTTGGGACGAGCAGGAAGTGGGGAGATAAGAAAGGGAATGATTAGGGAAAACACAACACTGAGTGACTGGCTTTGATGTGCTGCAATTTCTTTCTCTGCATCCTGCGCAAGTCCCAGGGCTGTTTGGGAAGGAGGGAACGACGGGGAAAATGGCGAAAAAAAGCTTCAAAGGAAGGCACGAAGAGGTGGGTAAAATCAAAGAGGCTAGTCTCTGCAGCTGTGGGGACACGATGCGACGATGAGACAAACGGGCAGGGTTGGAATTTAAAGGGCTCTGGAGGAGCGTGGTGGGAGGGAGAAACGAATAATTGTACAAGGGGGAGGGAGAGGGCAGTGCGGAGAAACGGGAAAAGGTCTGTGCTATATAGCAGCTGCGCATGCCAGCCCATGCACACGAGCGTTAGACAACTCAAATGTGAATTGTTTACGCATGCCCACCCCCTCCTTTCCCATGCACCCTGTGTAACGTTCAGTTGGGCTAACTGAACCTTAGGTCCAGCTGTGGCTTTAATGAGCGGGATAATGCTATTAGATGCGAACTTTCCAACCAACCCCCACCTCACACTCACTCTGCCCAGATCAATCCCCTCCGTTTTTTTTCTCCCCGCCCAGGTCACTCCAATCCTCTTTCCTGTGCAACGCCCGGAGAAAGCAGGAGCGAGGGAATGGGGGTGGGGATGCTGCGCCGACTGCAGCCAGCTGCGATGCACCATGCGCGCTTTCCCTCCCACCCATACCTCGGCACTCGTAAACACATCCTCGCGCTCCTTCCCTTTCAATATCTCTCCGCCCCATTCCTCCGAAGCCCACGACGCATACCCGTGAGGGCGTCAGCGGCGGCCTTATTGGAGCCGCGGGCGAACGAGTCGAGCAGCGACGAGGGCGCGGCGGCGAGCCCCGTGCTGCCCACGTAGTAGCCCGCCGCCACCAGCGCGAGCGCCGCCACCACCATCACCGCCACCTGCGACGACTGCGACGACTGCGACGAGTGCGACGACTGCCCTGCCATGGTCGTCGTTTCGCACGAATGCGGCTGTGGCTTCAAGCGAGGACAACGAATGACGCGGAGCTTATCTGCGGCGGGCCTAGAAAAGCGGCCGCGATGCCGTACGCATCGCCGGCGAGCGCACTAACGACGATAGCGGGAACCCTGCGGTCGTCCTTTCTAACAATTGCGTGCTTATCTGAGGGGGCCCTCGGATTTCGCTCGCATCGCTGGCGAACGCACTGTCTATGATAATGAGAAACCCTGGGTGCACTTGCAGGGCGGTGGGAACTGCTACGCAACAGAGACAGTGCCAACCCCGAAATTGGTCTGCGAAGCACAAATAGCGCCTGGAATCGAGGTAAAGTCTAAGTTGGTATTGCTGGTGGTATGAGTCAGCGAACAATGGTGAAATGTAGGTTGGTGAGAATTTGCTTGGTTTGGTTTGCGGGGGGATTGGAGAACTAGGTGAAGGGGAGGGGAGACCTAGGTTGGTTTGGGAAAGATTTGGCAGTTAAACAAACAGTGAGCTGATTGGTGCATCTTCGTGTACCCACCACAGTCCGCTCAACCACACCTTTTCCAACCAAGTTACCACACTCCTCGCCAAACACTGGTGCGAACAGCCCACGTGCCTCCTGCACTGCGTAGGCGATAGAGGGTCAAAGCATTCGCAGCAGGGCGACAAAACAATGTATCGAAACTGGTTGGGCGAAAGCTGTGTGTTACTCGCAGCTTCGCTTGACAAGTTTCTCAATATGCCGCACTAATCTGGTAAGTTCCTGAAGCCGCGTTTTCGTACAAATCGGGACGTTCCGATTGTGAACTGAGTCTCTGTTTGTCTCATGTCCGACGTCGAAAAAAGCATACAAAGCTCGGTTACACACCAAAATCAAGAAGCAGAAGTTATAATTTATGAAAACGGAACCTGCCTGAACAGCCCTTACACCTCGTGGGTGCAGGAAATCATTTCAGTGACATGACTCCCGTTTCATCCGCCGCTCCTCACGCATAGCTCCTCACCTCACCCGCCCTCCACGCACCCGGGGCCCTCCTCACAATACTTTCATCACGCTCACTCCGACTCGCGATCATTCACCACCGTTTCGCACAGCACGCCCCCTCTCGCCCACCCGATCTCCCTTTCGCGACTTTCGTTAACATTCGCCCTTCATCTACGTCATCCACCCCTGTCGTTCGTCAACTCCCTCCTTGGCTCCCATCCGTCTCTCGAGGCGCCTCATAAGTCGACTCGCATCCGTTCTCTCGTTCTCCCTTTTGCCGTCATCTCCTTTCCGTGCGAATCGGCTTTAAACGGAACATCCGTTCGAGGGAACAGTGCAGGCCGGAGAGGAGGAGGAAAGGGGACGAAAGGAAGGGAAAAGCAGATTCGACTCCTCCCATCCGCTCTCTCGTGTTCCCATGTACCGTCATCTCCTTTTTGAGCGAATCGGCTCTAAGCGGAACATCCGTTGAGGGAACAGTTTAGGACGGAGAGGGAAGGGAAAGGGGGACAAAAGAAAGGGGAAAGGCAGAGACACGGAAGAAGAGCGGGAACACGGTCAAGGAAGAAACGCCGAGGTTAACAGCGAGGCGAGGCGAGGTGGCGAGGCGAGGCGAGGTGGCGAGGCGAGGCGAGGAGAGGAGCGGAGGAGGGACAGTAGGGAAGCCTTAGCTGTTGGACGAGAGAGGGAGCCTGATTGTGACTGTTCTGGTCAGTCGAGGGTGCATTCACATCCCATCCCATCCCATCCCTGCATGGTTCAGTGTATTGAGCGACGATGATTCGCGCGCTGCGCATGGTGCGAGACGCGTTGTGAGGCGCCTCAAAACTAGACTCAGTCGAAGGTGCATTCACATCCCATCCCATCCTTTCCCATCCCATGATAAAGCCCGTTGAGCGATGGTGATTCGTGCACTGCGCATGGCGCGCGACTCGTGGGTGTTCTTCACGGGCAAGCAGGACTCGGAGCTGGTGCGGCAGACAAAGAGGATGCAGCTCGAAGCTGCCAAGGTGAGAGGCGGTGAGGACCGGTTGTGTGGTGCTAGACGTGTGGGTGTTCTTCACGGGCAAGCAGGACTCGGAGCTGGTGCGGCAGACAAAGAGGATGCAGCTCGAAGCTGCCAAGGTGAGAGGCGGTGAGGACCGGTTGTGTGGTGCTAGACGCGTGGGTGTTCTTCACGGGCAAGCTGAGCTGGTGCGGCAAACCAAGCAGTTGGTTCGAAGCTGCTAAGGTGGGACTCGCAAACATGCACACGAGAGCATCTGATTCAGTAGCATAATGGCAAGAAGAGGACTGGTTTGCGCATGATACGGGACACGTGGGTGTTGTTCGTGGGTCGGCTCGGTAGCACTCGGAGCTATTTCGGCAGACCAAGCGGCGGCAGATCGAAGCCGCTAAGGTGAGGGTGATCAGGTTCGGTACAGAGCGGTGAGAGCCAGTGGTGCGAGACGCGTGGGTGTTGTTCACGAGTCGGCAGGACTCGGAGCTAGTTCGGCAGACCAAGCGGCTGCAGATCGAAGCCGCTAAGGTGAGTCGCGGAATACCATACCCAACGCACACTCGCATACGGTGCGTCTGGATCGGTAAGGCGCGGTGAGGCCTGGTGAGCAGACTCAAAAGACGCCTCGCTTTGAGTCGACTCATGAGTGACCCTAGGCGCCAACTAACTTGGTGTTCACTTGGACTCACTCACACACGGTGCACCTGAATCGGCATGACATGACGTTGTGAGGCCTGTGGAGGAGCATATTTTTTATTGCTGGCTCTTTTTGCACTCATCCCTCCTCCCTCTCTTTGCACTCTTCTCTCCTCCCTCTTCTCTCCTTTTGCCTATGCGTGTTCCTCCATTCCGCACCCAGCCAAGGGATCTGCGGGTGGCACAGCAGCAGCAGATGATGGACGCTTTTTTCTTAGAATTCTGATCATTGCACTCATTTCTTCTCACTAATAGCAATGTTGCAATTCTCCTTTACTTCGAGTTTCACCTCTCCCTCATCTTTCCGCACTGCAACGTCCAGCTGACAGCTCTGAGGGTGGCACAGCAGCAGGTGGTGAAGGGTTGCGTTTGGTCTGCTTGACTCTGTTTTCACCCCCTTCCCTCTTATCCCCTCTGCTTGTTCCGCCCTTCCCCATTCAGCTGAGAGACCTGCGTGTGGCACAGCAGCAGTTGGCTAGGGAAGAAGGCTCTCACTGACATCATGCTCCCCTTCCTTTCCTTGTTCTTCTCCCTCCTCTTCCCCCCTCTTACCCCCCTTCAGCTGAGGGCCTTGAGAGAGGCGCAGCAGCAGGTGGTGGATTAGACGGCTCTGGAGCATGTGAGGCGAGTGGTGGGGGAAGAGACAGCCTCTCACTAACATTCTTATTGATTTCCTCTCCTCACGCTCAGCTGAGAGCCCTGCGAGTGGCACAGCAGCAGGTGGTGGAGGAGACAGTGTTGGAGCATGTGAGGCCGTTGGCGGGGGAGATGCAGCATCCCACACCCACTCTCTGTTGCTTCTCTTTCTTCCCTCCTCGTCTCCCCTCTATTCCCATACAGCTGGCGCATGGCACAGCAGCAGGTGGTGGAGGAGACAGTGTTGGAGCACGTGAGGCGAGAGGTGGGGGAGTGTTTGGTTGCTACCTCTGTTCGCACCCATCTCTCTTCCTCTTCTCCCCTCTTACCCCCCTTCAGCTGAGGGCCTTGAGAGAGGCGCAGCAGCAGGTGGTGGAGAAGACAGCATTGGAGAATGTGAGGCGAGTGGTGGGGGAGATGCAACAGCTGGACCAGCAGCTCGATGGCCTGGTGAGGGATGGTGGCGGGTGATAAGTGGATTGAGGGTGGTGGAATACGGTAGAAACTGCCATTTCTTCAAAATGGCGGGTTGGATGGTGGGGGAGATGGAGCAGCTGAAGCAGCAGCTCGATGGCCTGGTGAGGGGCGGTGATGGGTGATAAGTGGATTGAGTGTGGTGGAATACGGTAGAAACTGACTTTTCCTCAGAATGTGAGGTGGATTGGACGGTGGGGTGATGGAGCAGCTGAAGCAGCAGCTCGATGGCCTGGTGAGGGGCGGTGATGGGTGATAAGTGGATTGAGTGTGGTGGAATACGGTAGAAACTGACTTTTCCTCAGAATGTGAGGTGGATTGGACGGTGGGGTGATGGAGCAGCTGAAGCAGCAGCTCGATGGCATGTGAGGGGTAGTGGTGGGATGGTGAATGGTGGGGGTGAGGAGGACAATATCTTATTGAGCACGTGAGGCTGATCGGATGTTGGGGGAGATGCAGCAGCTGAAGCAGCAGCTCGATGACATGGTGAGGGGAATTTAAAGGGAAGTGGATGGTACGGTGGGGGTAAGGACCCGATCATATTGAGCATGCCGAGGCAACATCTGATTTTCTGTCAAATTTTGGATCATGGGGAGGGCATGGTGGATAGGAGCCAGTTGCAGCAATTGCAGCATCTCACTCCAATTTCCCAACTCACGCAGGAGAAGCTGCTGATCCTGAACTGGTTTTCTCATCGCACATTCTCAGTCTCGCCTCAACGGCTTGAGTATTCCTTCCTTTACGCTTTGCTTGAAGCATTCAGCTCCCATTCATACGAAACCTACGCCTCAACGTCGTCTCGTTTGCATAATTTTCAAGCGTTTGAAATCCGCCGTCAGTCGTTATTTCGGGATTCAGCAGAGATTTTCGCTATTCGCATGATCTGGCGTTTATGAAGGATACGAGCTTGCGGACGATTTCCGACGCGATTTTCCTCGCTGAAAGCAGCATCTCCGCCGTTAGCAGCAGAAATCGGCACCAGCAGCAATTACTACGTTCAGTAGTTTAAGATTTCGCCGAAAACGACGATATCAGTCGGCCAGCGATTTGCGACGCCAGCCAATTTCACATTAGCAGCGATTTTCGCCGTCAGCAACGCTTTTTGCCGTCAGCAGCAATTTCCGCCGTCAGCCGTTCCGCCACTACCAGCGACTTCCTCGCAGTCAGCAATAACGATTTCGCCGGCAGCAACGACCTCCGCCGTCCGTTTCGATTTAACCATCGCCGCCGCGTTAACTTCTTCCTTGCGTAGCCGTCAGTGGCCGTCATTAACCTTGCTGGTAGGTTTTGCCGTGAAGCTTTCATCAGCGATATTTAATCAGCGTTTGCCGTGTTTCTCCGAGCTGCCGTTTCGATTTCCCTTGAGCATTTTCTCAGCGCTCTCTCGCTTTGCGTTTGTTTCACTCGCAGGGAAAATCTCTTGGCATGGTGCTGTGGGAGAGCGCGACAGAAGGCAATATCTGCTGTGGCTGTGCCTCTTGTGAAATGCTGCTTCATGTAAGGACATGGACGTCAGCAACGTCAACTAACCGGAGGACATGGGGTGCACAGGCAGCTGCTGCTCTCCCTCCCAACCCAGCTAAGTACCCCTCTTCTCATCATACCCCTCGCACGCGTGCTGCTTGTCACGTCTTGCTTGCATCTTCAAGCTCCCTGCTCTCTATCACGCTCAAGAGACCTCCCTCCCCAAGGTAGCAGGTTCAAAACTTTGGTAGCCTCAGGTATTCGTTTGATTATGGTTCAGCTGGTACGAGGTCTCTTGGGTGTGCCATTGCAGCAGTCCTTTCATGCATGAAACATTTTTGCACTTTCTCCACTTTCCGTACACATGTGTCTCTGCTTCTGTCCTCATTGCCCTCCCTACTCCTGTGCTCCCCCTTCACACCGCTGCCCTCTCCTCCCGCTTCCCCTTCTCTCTACCCTTCTTCCTCCCCTCACGTCCCAGCAAGTTGCTCAAACGGGAGTGACAGCAATGGTGGGGAATATGGAGTAAGTGGGTGGTGGGGGAGATGCAGCAGTTGAGGCAGCAGCTGGATGGCATGGTGAGGGTTGGTGGTGGGTGATAAGTGGATTGAGGGTGGTGTGATACGGTGGATCGGATGGTGGGGTGGGGGAGATGCAGCATCTGAAGCAGTAGTTGATGGCATGGTGAGGGGTGAGTGGGGGTTGTATGGTGTGGTAAAGGAGAATATATTATATTGAGCATGGATGGTGGAGGGGGGGGGGGGGTGCAGCAGCTGAAGCAGCAGTTCGTGCAAAGATCCACTCTACAACGGTAGTGAACTAGACTTCGGGTGTTGGCACGAACAATTAGGAGTGATCGTAGCTTTGCTTGGTTCCTTAGCACTTGCGCATTCACGGGAGAGATTGGCAAGAGTTTCCACTAGAAAAGTTGAAATTCCAAAATGATTGAACAAGCAATGACAGAATGACTACATCAGGCACCTAGCAATGCTGCAGCTAGCCTGGTCGACCGCCAGCACAGCTTGGTCGACCGCCTGCCAGCGTTGCGTAGAGGAGCCGCGTCAGCACTGCAGAAGAGTGACCTGCCAACGCAGCAGATCGACGGAGTGCCAACACTGCAACAGAGTCTGTCCAGCGTTGCCCCGTAGAAGACAGCAGTGCGCACGCTCACAGATGCGCGCAGACGATTGGCCCGACTTGCCTCGTTGGGCATCCGTCGGCTGTTGTCTGCGCCTGACGAGCCACATCGACTTCGGGATACCAGCCCGAAGTCGCCTTCGCCATCGCGACCTCGACGACGTTCGCGTGCCTCCGCAGAACTCGTCGAGCAGGTTACCCGGTCGATCCGGACACCACCAGGTGCTCCGGTCGACCACCAGTGCCTCCGGTCGACCACCAGGTGCCTCTGGTCGACCACAGCTCCCTCTGGTCGACCACCAGGTGCCCCTGGTCGACCACAACTCCCGTCGAGCTACCCCCTGGTCGACGGACCCCTTCCGTCGACCAGAACTGCTCCGTCGACCTCCCGGTCGAGCTGCAGGTCGACGGGATGCTTCGCGGACCTCCCGGTCGAGCTGCAGGTCGACGGGATGCTCCGCAGACCTCCCGGTCGAGCTGCAGGTCGACGGGATGCTCCGCAGACCTCCCTGTCAAACTGTAGGTCGACGGGCTGCTCCGCCGACCTCCTGGACGGCCCACCCGTCGCCCAGGCCAGTCAGTTGCAGCTGTCGAGCTCCCTGGTCGACAGCAACGCCACAGCGGTCCCCTGCAGCTCGACGTAGCTTGTCGAGCAGGTCTCCCACTGTGAACGGTCGACTGCAACTCCCTTAGACCCGACCAAGTCGTCGGCGTTGCCCAAGCGGGGCGGGGAGGAGCAGGTGGGATGGTGTGCGGTGAGGAGTGGTGGGGTGCGATACGGCGAGGGTTGATTCGATGGCATGTGGTGGTCAGTAAGAAGCAGTGCGTACACCCGCTGCTTGCATCTGGTGGTGGGGCATGTGAGGCGGATTGGGTGGTGGATTGGTGAGGGGTGATGGATTGTTAAGGGGTGATGGATTGGTGAGGGCTGATGGATTGGTTTGGGTGGAGGGATGGTAAAAGAGGGGTGAGGGGTGGGATGGTGGTAATGTTGGTGTATGCTAGATTGCAGGGTTGCCTCATAACACTCTCACATGCTAGATAGCTATGTATAGCCCACATCATGCTTTGCTTGACCTTCCCGTGCTTCATTCCCCTTTCGCCAACCATTGATTGCTCTCTCAATTGTCCACCAATTGAATGCTGTCCACGCGGCAGGAGGAGACAGCAAAGGCACTGGCAGAGAGTGTAGCGGAGCAGGCTAAAACGAGGATGCAACAGGAGGAGGAGGAGGATGACAGGCGGTTGTTGCAGACTATGGATCAAACAGCGTTAGAATGCTGGGGTATGGGAGAGAGAAGGATGATGGTGGGAAGAGCAACTAAGTACATGTCAAATGTTGTAGCCTATAGTGAGGTTTGTCTTAGGGGGTACAAAACTTAGGGTTAGCTATATGTACCCCAACCAACATCAATGCATCATCCATTCTTCATTCTGACATGGTATCAGTTAGGTTAGGATCCTGTGGGATCCCGTTCCTCCGTTCTCCGTTCGAGCCTCCCGAGCCTGATCCTAGCTCTCATTCGTCCCGGTTCCGTTGTTACCGCGCGTAGTGCCGAGCCTAGCGCCAATCCTAGCGCCCGTCCGCGCCACCCGTTCCCCTCGTTCCGTAGCGCCCACCCTTACCCCCCGTCGCGTCGCGTTCCCCCCCCACGTCGTGTCGCGCCCGTTCCCCCCGTCGCGTCGCCGCCCATTCCCCCCGTCGCGTCGCGCCTTTTCCCCCCGTCGCGTCCTGCCCGCCCTTTCCCCCTCGTCGCGTCCCTTTCCCCCCGTCGCGTCCTGCCCGCCCTTTCCCCCTCGTCGCGTCCCTTTCCCCCCGTCGCGTCCTGCCCGCCCTTTCCCCCTCGTCGCGTCCCTTTCCCCCCGTCGCGTCCCGCCCGTCCTTTCCCTCCGTCACGGCCCGCCCCTTCCCCTTTCCCCTGTAGCGGCCCGCCCTTTCCCCTGTAGCGGCCCGCCCTTTCCCCTGTAGCGGCTTGCCCCTTTCCCCAGCCCGTCGTCTTAACCCTAGCCTGCTCTTCCGCTGCCACTGTATCCCTAGCGTTAGTTCTCGCTATGGCGACTCCGCGTGTGCTTCGTTTCGACGCTGACGGTAGACCTCTTGATTTTTCCGTCTGGCTTCTTCGTGCTCGCCGTCTGTTAGAGAGTCAGGTCCAGGCAGGCGAGACCCTCTGGGCGCACGCTACTGGTGCCCTACCTGCGCCCCCCGACCCTACGCCTTTAGGACCTGCCCCTGACGACGCCGCTAGAGCCCGCTTTGCCACTCAGCGAGCTGACCAGACGGCTTGGACGTCACGTGACGCTGCGGCCTGCATCGCGCTCAGCAGCCTCCTCCCTGAGTCTGAGGAGGTTCACTTCACTCAGGTTCGCACCGCTGCTGAGTACCTCACTGCGATTAA